CGCCGCCTCTCTCCTCAAGTGGCCCTATCTCGTTAGGGTCGCGAAGTGCCGCCATTGCTGCTCATCGCGGAGGAGAAGAACACCGCTCTACTTCCCCACCGCCCTTGACGAAGAGATGGGTGCGCAACGGTCCCGGAGGGCAACTCCGCGCCCTTCCTTCTGCACTTTGCCAACAGCGCCTTCCAGGGGATCGGCAACCCTACTCAACTCTTTTGTGCCGGGGCCGTTTCCCGACTACGTGTACCATGATCGGCCCCTACCTCAAGGTCACGGTCGTGACAGTGGCAACCCGGCAGAGATAGGCAAGTTCACCCTACGAGACCACCGCAAACAAGAGCGAGCAGCGGGTACGTGGAGTAAAGACCAACAAAGAGGGGGGCCACCCCCAAGAGGAACGGACTGCTCACCACTTCCACGGCGACGTCGACGACACGAAGGGGGAGAGCCCTACGGTGAGCAGTGAACAGCGAGAGAGGCCGCTCTTTTTGTTTCAAGGGGGAAACCCAGAACGTACTTCCAGCTGTGACTTTCAATGCGAAACAGCTGCCAAGGGTTGAGCCGGCATGCATGCTTTAGCCCATTTCTCTCCGTACAGCTTTTCTCTCCATCCAAGGATTGCTTTTGCCGCAGGGGACACCCCCTGAACCCCCAACTTTTTAGACTTTTTCCTGACGGGCCGCTGAGCCATTCCATCCACATCGAGCCGTGCCCCCGCTCCGGGGCGAATCCTGTACCTTATTTCTGTACCATATAGAGTATCATGAATGCTCGCTTTTCTACAATTCGAGTTGCCGGCCAACTTTTCCTTTTCTGCTCGCCTGCTAGGGGACTCCCATTCGAACCCTTTTCTGTTCAGGTTGCTTTGACTTCGGTAGGTTCTCCTGGTGGTTTGGGTCCTTTTTGATTCGGGGAGCCATACCCTAGGAACGGGCTGCACTTTTACTTCTCGGCATAAACCGATGCCACGACAGAACTCCACTCTTTTGCCACCTTCCGGGGACATGTACCTCGAACTCTCTGTTGCCTACCTGTTTCGTAGTCTTGTAGTCTACTGTTGCCTGTTTGTTTCGCTGTTCTTGCGACATGTTCCCTACAACAAGTGGCCGTGTGGAGACTGCTTTCTCAACCATTGAACCCAGAGGCCTTGGTTGTGTCTTGTGCGTCTCTCCGCCTCCCTCCGCAACTGTCGGGGGCGCACTAGCGCGCGGGTTAGGGGAGCAATCCCCTGGCCCATAACCCTAACGAAAGAAAGATAATTCTCTAAGGGGCAACCCTCGGCCGTAGCCCTGGTGAAAGAAAGATAGAGAATTATGTGGTACCTCCCCCCGGAACTGCCGACCGTGTCAAACCAGCTTTTCCGGCAGGTCCGGGTATTGCATCTCTCAAAGACGACCGAAACCAAATCCAATTTTCAATAGAACGTGCCAATCCTTACTATCGGGGGGCCAATCAGGCTGATGTATGTTATTATATTAACCCTCAGGTCGATATGGGAGTTTATAGGGGAGGTATAACGGGGTTACTGACCGACATAGCATTGCAATCATACAAACTAAAATGCGAAGCTATGGGGCATCTTTTTTTGGGTGAACATGAAATAGAAAACTACTGTCACCATTGGGGCCAATGCAAGGTCTAATGGCAGGGTTCGACTTGGGGATACTGTTGTTAGGAAGAGGAGTCAGTCAAGGCTGACGGTCATTCATACGTATTGCTGGGGTTTTGATCTGAAACTACAGTGAAGGCTACCTTGGGAGTTAATACTCGGGCCCGTACTGAGCTTCGGATATTCAGACACAAAGGTGGGTCTGGGGGATGGGGGGAATACGCACAGCGCAACTGAAAATGTTACAAGCCAAGAGTCTCCCGCTGCATTGCTGTACTGTACGATATGTGATGTCGTGTCTTCTACTGTGTGTCTTGGTCCTTGTACGCGAGGGCCCTAATCCGAGCCTCTAAATGGTAGGGGCCCCCCCCCCAGCATTGAAAATGAGGCGTCGCATTAACAGAAGATCATTTCTTGGGTCTTCGGGGCTCTTTGGACTATTAAAAATAGTAGGAATGTATTGAATCTCGAGTACAAAGCCATTGGAAAAGGCTTGGTGCATGGAGAAAACCTCCACTGGGGCTCTTTGGACTCTATTAAAAAGGAGTAGAGCTGTGAAGCGCTGGAGCCTCAAACTACAGATCTCGAAGCAGATCCCTGAGGCATCCGAATCGCAGGTGCCAAATCGGAGTAAATCTGAAGCTTGCACTTCCTGAAATTTTGGAGCTCCGAAATAATTTTCTTTAAATGTGGTACCTTTTCCCCAGACGAAATCCCTCCGCCTTCTAAACTCCTCTTCGAACCCAAATCCGGCCCGGAAAATTTTCTTTAAGTGTGAACCCGTTTATAAACCAGATGCTCGGATTAGTTTCGTGATTCTTCTCTACACACCTGCCATTGGGCAGCCTGCTTTGCAGAGAGTCCTGGTCTGCAGGTGTTCACTACCTGCGATGTCACCCTTCCGAAGACAGCGCCTTGCCGCTGCTTCTCTGGGCTTGTCATATGGTGCCGGGTCATTACATGGCTGTGTGATTGGCTGTCGTTGACGGCCGAGTTCCGGCTGGGACGGACAAAGATAGTGGCGTGACGGTTGGTTTTCTCTGGTCCCAGGGTATCCCGAGATTGCTCCAGCTGCAGTCGAGGGTTCCAGCTAAGGCAGCGCTGCTGAACTTCACAGGCACAACACAGACGGATATTGATGCCTGCTTTTGGTGGATCTTGGTGATGTAAGGCCTTGGGCCCTTCTGCCGGCTGAGTTTGGGTTCCAAAGCCTGCAGGTGTTTGGTTCGGGGCTCGGGGTCGGGGGTCGGTTTGGAAAGCGTGAGGGTTGTTTTTTGAAGCAGTTGGCATTTGCGTGTTGTGGCACTTGTAGAGGCAAGTTGAACTCCAGCGGCAGCTAAGAACTACTGTGACCCAGCCCGACGGAGGCACCAGCCCGAAGCCCGAAGTTTGAGCAACTCTTCCGCTAGGCGGACTCTTGTTCACTGTGGGCGGGTTCGTCTTGCGGCTTGGCAGAGAACACCAAAGCGACAAGCGGGTGATGACACAGGCATGTCGCGAGGCAGGATGCCACCGGCCGCACCCTAGTGAACGCCAAACCCTGCTCTAACACCCAGCTTGCGACGGCTTGATGCGCTGTAGTAAACCCCCAGCCCGTTCTTGTTTTGGAATCCCGCACCCTGAACAACGTATGCAACATAAAACCTAAACCGGAGCAGAGGTTCTGGCCCCACCAGGGGGCACAGAGCAACTTACTCTTCGCCGTCGGCTCGGTCCTCTACACCGTGGCGAGCAGCCTCTCAGCGCCTCCCTTGCAACGAAAGACTTTGAAAGATTCGTGGGAAAGAGCAGGCTAAAGAGCAGTAATCACAGTATGCAGTCTTTTGTGTGAGTGTTCATCTGGGTGCACGGTCTTGGGGCGTCAGATAGAAAGAAAAGGTTCAACATCGGCCACCGTCACCCTGTATGGCATTCGCTTTTCTTGTCCTCTCATTGTCCTTGAGAGCCCATATCTTCGGCATGGCGGCCGTTTGTTGCATCCTCTCCATGTTTTCATCTTAGTAGAGCCCCTGTCCCTTAAGCTGAGGTGATTATGTGGAAGGACTGAGCCCTGGCCTTGTCTGAGGGTGTTACTCGAGTTTCACACATTGAAAGCTCCCCGGCCTCTGCCCTGGCGGCTCTCCTTTCTCAGGGTCCCTTCCGAGCCACCGCGCTGTCGTGCCGCGGCGCGAAACTTTGGGCCATGGCTGGCACAGCGTCTGCTTCCGGCTTGGGGGACTTGTTGGTACGAGGTGTTGCAATCCGCGGAGACCGACGTGGGTCTCCGTCTCCGTCTCGGGCATCCCCAGCATCCGAGCCTGCTGAGCCAGGGGCTGAGCCAGGGGCTGAGCCAGGGGCTTCGCCGGCTCAGGTGGGCAACTTTGGAGGCTGGTTCCGCATCTTCTCTCCTGGCTTTGCGCACACCCTTTTCATGTGCGAGGACCCCGAGATCACCACGACGCAGATCCATGTCGCAAGCTTTTGGGATGAAGAATTCGACTACACGGACACCGTCCGATGGCAGAAGCGCATTCTGCGCTGCACTCCAGCCCTCGGCCCGTATGCTGGCAAAGAACAGCGCTTCGAGTGTGACGAGCACCCGGATCAGGTGAAATGGGCCGGACAGAGCCGCCTCTCTTGCGAGCGATGCGGGGCGGGCGAGGAGGGCCGCACAGGACTGGTGAGGAGCTGCCTGAAGCTCCTACTTAGCCAAGACGGCGCCCAAGGGCGCGCTGCCCCGGAGGCGCTGGCGCGGGCCGCGCTGCTCCCCGGCGCCGAAGGCATCGCCCGAGGCCTCGGTTGGCGCCAGGACCTGAAGCAGGTGGCCGGTCGAGTGCAAGCCTTCCTGACCGGCCACGTACATGTCGAGGTGCAGAGTTTGGGGGGTGGCGCCAGTGTGCAGTTCCAGCTCCCCGAAAATGCGAGCTGTGCCGAGCTCTACCATGCCACTGCCGCCGCCTTCTTTCAGGGTGGACACGCGCAGGTGACTCAGGAGGATTTCCTGCTATCGACGAGGGATGGTTCGGCGCTTCTGGATGCCTCGCCGAACGTGGCCATGGATCAGCCCGCATTGAGGAGTGCGCCGGAAGGCCGGCAGCTGCTTCTGATCAAGGAGCTGAGACAAATGGCGCAAGACGCCACCAAACCGGAGGACTTTCCATCGTCTGTGCCAGTGATTGTGCATGATATTTCCGGGGCACTTCTGGCCGAGATGCTTCTGCCCGGCGATGTGGCAGCAGCCGACTGCAAAGCCAAGCTTCGTAAACTGCTCTCGCGCCACGAGCCGGACGAGTGTATGCATCTGGTGACGGAGAACGGCCAACATTGGCAGGATGCAGAGATGCTGGCACACGTGCTTGGCCAAGCAAAGATGTCGCGCTTGACGCTCGTTTGGGCCTCAGCCTTCCAATACGTCGTCGTGCCGTTGGCCAGCGAGGCTCGTGTTCTCGCTGGGCGCGGGGTCTTCGGGTCACCAGCCGAGCTGCCGGCGCGAGAGCCCGGCATGAGCCGCGTGGGCTTCCCGCTGAAGCGTGGCACAGGCCCTGGCGCTGAAAGTCGGGCTGCCCGGAAGCTTCGGGCTGTGCGAGCAGCACACGGCATCGCGGCGCCGGCGGACGTGCGGAAGCTGGTGGAGGTCCTGCCCGAGCTAGACGGCGAGGATGATGCCTCAAGTCCGGGCCCTGCACTGCACGTCTTCGAACTGGGCCCAGAAGTGGCGCGGATGATGGCAAACCTCACCTCGGACGGGAATCAAGCGGGTGGCTCCTACTACCCGGTTGTGGTCCCTGCCCAGGCCAGTAGCTGCATCCTTAGGTCCTTCCTCGCAGAGTGCCTTTGCAACTCTTCTGGGACATCGAGCCGCCTCGCTATCTTCGGGGAGAAGTTCGAGGCCGTCGGCTTCAGAGACTTGCGGCACTACTTGCAGACGTGGCCTGATACAAAGGGTTTCACACTGAGCAAGTAGCCGCGGACAGAAACAGCGAAGCTCTTGACTTTCCAATAGCTTTCATAGCGCCCGGCTATCTCTTACTGGGGGGTTGTGTTACGTCGTACCGCGCTGTGTGAAGTCATACGTTCGTGCGTGGACACTGGGGGGGAAGCCATTCTGAACAAGTCCCGGCAATCGGTACAGCGACACAGCTGGGTCGCACCATGTCTTTTGGATCCCACCCCAGACTGGGGGGAAGCACCCGGGCAGGCGCCATCACCGAGTGTCTACTTGGCGATTGGTGATCACGTTGATTCGGGATTGTTGAGGTTTGGTACTGAAGCTGAATTTACAGCAATTCACACGGAGACTTCTTGTTTCTGTATCACTGGGTGCTTGCTGGGTGCTGGAAATATCGAGCGTCTACACGGGGAATGGCTTGTTTTGATTTGCTGCTTGATGCGATGTCGCTGATGTGTTTTTGGAGCGGGTGCTTGCTAAATTGAGCGTCTACATGGGGAATGGCGGGTTTTGCTGTGCTGTTTGCTGCGATTAGACAGCTGTGTTCCGGACAGTAAATTCCTAAGAAAGCCTGCGCACGGCACTCGAAATCCTAAGTTGACGTCTGTGCCGGGAACGTGCTAGGAAGCGCCTGGATGTGCAGCTCTGCTTGTGGTGTGACTTCACACGCCCTAGTGTAACTTCACGCGCTCCTGCGTGACCATGCGGTGTGGCGACCTCACGCGCATAACGCTACCCCTTGTAGGACGACGGACCTGGACTTATCTTGCACCTCAAGCTCAAACGATATAGCTACGACATCTCCGGGTGCCCGAGGCCCCAACCGGCCCTGGCTTGGGAGATAGTAACCCGGATAATGTAACCTTGAAAGGAGCCCTGTAATGGAGCCCCTTTCAGGGGCCCTTCAAAAATGAACTTGGGATGTTTCGAAGCCGACTCCTGGCAGGACGAGCAGTTCGGTCTGGCGTACCTCGCCGCGCTCAACCACATGGGGGGCCAGGACCCTTTGAGCGATTCTCACGGGGTTCCGGTAGATCTCAGAGTACGGACATGGTGGATCATATTGCATTTTTTCTTTTTCATGTCCTCACATTCCCGCCTTACCTCTCTCTGCCTTTCGAGTGCTTGAATCTCGATTGCGATGCGAAAGCAGCTGGACTCACAGATCGAGCTTCCTAAGCGAAAGAGCGGCTCCGGCCTGTCACAACTCTACAACTTCCCGGCTACCAAGCAGTGCCCATGCGGTCCCCGCCGCGAGTCGGTTTCTGATCCGTCGGAGGCGCGAGGCTCCTCCTTCATCCATAGCAACACGCCGCCGGAGTCCCGCACCTTCTCGGCTCCTCAGCTGCAATGGGTGGTGGTGCCGCCGTCAGGCTTCCGCATGTTCTGGTGTTGGTCAAGAAAACCTCGGGTTTTCGCATCTTACGAGTTGAGTTCCTCCATGTTGGTGCTGGGGCCTCTCGGAGCTTCGAGCCCCAAGCACCAGAACTCCCTGCAGGTCGCAAAAAGCTTTGAGCAGGCTCTTGCAAGGCCAAGGGGCCACTGCAAGCTTTGTACTGTCCTTGCCAGGCCTTTGGGAAACTGCCCACGCAAACTCTGCATCTTTAAGCTTCATCCTGAAAAACACGGCCGTCGCGATTTGTTCACTTCCTACCGAAGAATGCCTGCAGCGAGTGAAAGACTAAGGTGCGCGGCATTGTCTTCATTCACCTCTACTGCATCGTCTCCGTTGTTGTGCCGTGGCAGAAGCTTGTGCGGCTTGGGCTCGCTGGAACCACACTGGCCATTCCGTCCTAGCCGATGGACCTGAAAGAGCCGAGGCCGTCATGAACTTTTGCTTGGCCCTCAACCACTTCATGGCGTTGCCGGCCGTAGACACCTTGGCCCGTGCCGGCAATGCCTCGTGGCCAAGTTAGTCTTGGTGAGGAGAACGGACAAGAAGACTTCCGGTCTTGTCGGCAAAGCTTCAGACTTCGCTGTCTGGTTCCTATTCATGCAGGCAGACAGCAGCTTTTTGCGATTGCGCGAGCAGCACGCTAGCAGCCTGCTTGTGTATGCCCGGAAACTACAGTTTGTTGCACTCCGCATACATACATCCATCCATCCATCCGTGCATGCACACACATACTCACGTGCACGCTTCCAGCTTCATGTGCATATACGCGTATAAATGCGCAGGTCTATCTGTTGTTTCCGTGTGCGTACCCGTGCGCACACCCTGTCTCGACCTTCGCCCTCGTAGAGCCTACTAGTCAAGGCCCGAGCCCCTTTCAATCAGTGATCTCGCAACCAGGAATTCCTGCCTTTCCTGTGGCTGCACATCGTCCTGCTCATCCATTCTGCAGTCGTCAAGACGCCGAAGACACAACCCTTCCACGTGGCTGTGCGAGATCCAGTTGGGGTTCGACACGGTTCGGCCGCAGGATTCTGGGTAGGGGGTGTGTGCCAAAGGCAATAACGGTTGTAAACTTAAACGAAGTGCTTCCCTGCAACTGCAACCACGAGGCAGTGCTCATGGCCATGCGGTGTGTTACCGTCGCATCACGTCGGCATGCAGATTTCCAGGGTGCCGCGGCCGTGTGGCTGACTTGGAAGCCTTCAGACATGTGTGGAACAAGGCCGTGACAGAATCATTCAGGGCTTTGGTATCGATTATGCTGTGGTCGTGGCCGTGCACTTCCGATGTATGTTTGCAGCTCCGTCCATGATGAATCTCCAAAGCGAGCCAAAAGAACTGAGCGGTGATCCAGCTCTTGGATGAAGTTTTGGGGCTTGGATCGGAAAGTTCGGATTCTCATCCTCGAAGGGAAAAAAGAACAGTATTTTTCATCCCTCGAGGTGATCATGGTCATGGCTGTGGCAACGTTCGTGGCAGGCGCACCGGTATTGGAACGGTTTCCCCCCAGAACCCGATGATTCCGGGGATGTGTAGGCCCCTGCGAAGCAATTCGTAGGCCCCTGCGAAGCAATTTCTCGCTTGGCTAGTCCCAGAGTGAGCGGCGACACCCTGACATGAAACGCTCCGAACTTCAAGGCCTTACTTTATGGAAGCTACACCCACAAGCCCTCAGTGTGAGAGGTCTCATGCACCCGCCGCCGCCCCCGCTGGACTCAGTGGACCCCCCGCGGCTACGTGCTCCCTGGCGCCGCTGGGAGGGGGGCGAAGCTTCGAGAACATTGGCAGTCGCTTGCAGTGCTTTTTGGGTAAGCCAATACGAAGGGAAGTGCAACATGTATTCCAGGCTTTCCGTATATACGTGTATGTGCGCACACGCATACATGGATTGTGGGGCAAGGGCCCATCAGACAGGCAGTACTAGAGATCGAGAGAGAGCAGGAGAGAGAACACTGTGCTGTGTTGATGTGTTTTCCTCGGTACCACCAGTAAAGCCTACGTAGCCCTGCTTCCGTTCTTTCGGGGGGGAGGGAGATACCTCCCACTCATGCCCGCAGAAGAAAGGAAACAGAGAACAAGGCAGGCAGACAGACAGACAGACATAGAAAGACAGAGCCTCCAGCCGACAACCGAACTACTTATCAGCAAAACCCAGCATTCCTGAAGCTTCCTAAGAGCTCAGGACAGTCCGGAGCTTCATGACCTGATGTACCCATGGTGAAGGCACTGCTCTCGGCTGTCTCACTCTGGCCTTGCAGTCAACCGCCGAGGGGCGGTGGCTTTGGATTCTCCCACACGCATGCACTGGGCACCGTTGAACTTTACTTACGAGATGCCGAAGAGACTAGGGCAAGTCCGAGTTGTGATCATGCAGCTTGAGATATAGCTAGAGTAGGTCTGTGGCCAGCTCCAGAGCCTGCTCACTTCTACGGTTCCGCAAGATGCTGTTCAGCATTCTAAAGGAAAGTTGAAACTACAAAACCCGCCTCGCAAAACCAAAGCAAGACAAAACAAGCGTTCAAGGGTGGAGGTGTTTGCATCAACCTAGCTCTCGCAGTAGCTTTGCAGCTCGCGGCCTTGGGGGGGTTGCTTTCTACCATGAAGACTGGTCACATCTTCCGCTGCCACTGTGACGTGTGTGAGTAAGCCATGAAGGTCTTGTCCGCTCGGAAAGAGCAACCTCCAAGGATCTTTTGCCAGAGTTTGCCGAAGGCAAGATCACAGTGATGCCACCGCAGCCTGCACGTCCGCCATGAATCCTTGAACACATGGGCACCGAGTTCCAAATCTCGTCCGAATCACATTGCAATGGGCCCACAGGATTCTCTGACGGGAGCAGGCATGTGGCTTGCGGACGCCTGCTGAGTACAAAGAGATCTTCTTGCAGTTTCGAAGTATTCCGGAAGGGATTAGTTTGCCCGCTCGACTTCGGATGGTGATGATCCTGGTTAGTCTTGTAATTCTTATTGCAACGAAAGCACTACGCAGCAGCAGTCTTTTGATTGTCGCGACCGCGGCCAAATGGCCCGAACCTCTTACTTGTAGCGGGGCTCTGCTTGAGGCTATAAAATACGGGTTTCTTTCGCGTGCGCTATGGTTTGAAGTTGGACTTGTGAAGGGCAAGAATCCGTAGCATGCCTTGTTGATGACCTTGTTGGTCCCGCTTTCGCTGTTGGTACAGTATTGTTCTTGGGCTTGTCGAGTGTGAACGCCGCGACCCATTGCTGGTCCACAGCCATAGCTGGCACCGGTGAGCATGGAGCATACCCGGATCAGAAACAGAGACCACCTAGTCCTCGTTTAAATGTCGACCCTCAAGACGGACTGCCTGCATATGATTGCAGCACCCAAAAGTCAGCGTGCTTCCTTGCCTCGGGGCCTCGAGCCCGTAGACCCAGAGACCCGCAGCCCTAACCTGAAGGAGCATGTGCGTAACTTTTGCAGCCATGAGCCGTGTACTGCTCCTCCTGATCTTTCAGGCCTGGCTTGGCGCTAAAGTGTGGATTCAGTATAGACGGCCGTGGCTGTGATGTGTTGCGGCGCTGGATCACTTGTTGACGTGAGCTTGCCTTGCACGGTCAAGAAACTTTTTCCTGCCGTGCTACTACGTCTACGATCCGCCGACCGCATGAGCTTCGCGGCTGCTACTCTTTACAAAAGGCACAGCCAACCAAAACCACAAAAACCGGGCAACTTAGCAAGCCCGATCCCGAAGTTCGCTTTGCCAGGGAGCGGCTGGAAAGCCTCGGAAGCTTTTTGAGATCGGCTCCAACGACAAGGCAGCTTTTTGTGTTGCTGTTGTTTTGTGGGGGGGGGGGGGGAGGATGAGACACTCCCACGTGGAACACGCAAGAGCCGAAGCTTCCCAGGAGGTGGGCCTGGACCCTTTCTACGAGGGCAACATGGAGCCCTGGGGTGCCGTGTGCGTCGGCTACGTGAAGCAGGACACCTCCCGCTTTCCATGAAGCATCACTTTGCGAGGCCGAATAGCGAGAGAGAGAGAGAGAGAGAGAGAGAGAGAGGAAGAGCAAGCGAGAGAGAGAGAGAGAGGGAGATCTTTGTATTGACATGTAACCCCTGACCATGTAAAATACCACTGCGCGCCCATGATGGATGCACTGCCGAAGCTCGCAAAGCCACAGGGTTGCCAAGCAGGACTCACCGAATCATCGGCTCTTGCAGAAGCTGGGGGCCAACACCGCAGAAGACGCGGTCGCCCGGGGGTGGGCAATGTTGGTGCGGTGCATTGCAGGGATGGGCTTTTGACCAGTTTTCAAAGTCACTTCTGGAGAGGAAGGCCAAGCAGTGCTCAGCTTAAATGCATGTCCTGAAGTGGCCCATGGCTCATCAGGAGCTCTGGGACCTGCAGATTCCCATGGCTGCCGTCATCGACTGGGAAGAGGAGGAATCCTTGCAGAGCCTTGGTCTGGTAAGGGCCTTATCAGGAACCGGTGCTTTCTCTGGAGCTCAGGATCGTCAGGCGGAACTACGCCGCCAGACTCTGGGAAATGATAGAGCAGCCCCCGATGGATGCCGAGCCGGTCATCTTCGCAGGCTACTTGGGCGCAGTTCCAGGTCTCCGTATAGGAAATCCCAAGTTCGAGCCGACGTGATTTGCTCTACGAGCGAGGCAAAAGCGGGAAGAAGTGGAAGGAGAAGGCGCCCCGGTCTGCCTTTTAAGAGGGTTCCCCTGTTCACAAAGCGAGCCTTCAGCTGTGCATCAAGCACGACGCTGAACCGGCCGAACTCAAGGCCTAGAAGGAGCTACATGCCTCCTATTTTCCACAGTATGGGTGCCGACCGCCCCCCAGCCTGCAAAGCCGGTTTTGCAGACCGGAGAAGCTCCCTGAATCAGGAAGTTCGAGCCTGGCTGCTGGAAAATGCCTTCCCCACCATCAACTACAGGGTAGCAGGCTGAGAGAGAAAGCTGGGGTTGGGAGAAGGGTGGCGGGTTGGACGGTTAAAAGTTCGCATCTAGGGAGTTTGAGCTTGTCGTGCATCATGAAGCGCAGTAAATCGTACTCGTTTCGTCTAAAGTGTTCCTCTGTCTCTTGCTCCTGCTCCTCGCTCAGCTTTTGACCTGACCCTGGGTAAAGGCTTCCTTCTACCTGTCCTGTTGTTTGTGGAACCGGCAGGCTACCAGGGCAAGCAGAACCCCTTCCCCTTTGACAAGTACTTCGGCAAGTCAAACACTGGCGGCGTCGGCCTGGTCCTGGTGAAGATCAAGGACTCACCTCGGCCAGGTCCAGTGAAGAGGCGTGCTTGGCCTGGCGCAGGTCCATGTGAGGTCCAGGGTTCTTGGCTTTCAGGGGGGCTTTCAGAAAGCACGATGAAAGCAAGGCCTCAACATTGAAGGCTCCAAGGCGACTCGACACCAGCGCGGGCACGAGTGTGAGGCCCGAAGTGGCAAGTCAAGGCTCCGAGCTGCTTTGATCCCGAGGACATCAACGACTTTGGTCCTCAATTTCGTGCGGTTCGCTACCTCCGACCGCACATGGTGGCTCGGCTGCTTCTGGCTCTCGAAGATTACCGACTGCCAGTCTGCACCGCTCAGCCGAAGAAGCGGAGCAATCGGAGCCAAGCTGTGCAGGAGAAGTTGAGAGGCAAGATCCGCTTTGCGGTAGTCGAAAAGACGGCAGCTGGGCCTGCCAACAGAGATATTTCGGGGTTGTTTCTCCCTGTCCTCTTTGTCCAAGACGGGGGGGGATCCGGGCAGGCAAAGACGCTCGAGATGAGGCAGGCTCTCAAAGTCGGGTCGCCTAGCTGCACTGGTATGCCGAACTTGCCGGATCTACCTGCGGTCGAGACGTGGCGCACAGGGGCAGGAACTCTTGCAAGGTTTATTCGGTACTCTAGCAGTAACAGTAGCCGGAGGAAGGGGACGTGGCAATTCCTCCACCTCGCGTAGTTGTCGAGGTAGTCTTTGTGAGGGTAGAGGTTGATTTGTGGTGAAGACGCCCTCCAGGCTCAACGAGAGTCTCGAGAGCGAGCTCATCCTTTTCAAGGACCTCGAGGGCTTAGGGGATCGGCCCGTGGGCAACCACTGGCACGGAAACCCTCACAAGCGCCCACGCTGCAAGTGCGATGCTTCGAGTTTCGGGGTCCAGGGGAGACCTACACCTGCACCCCAAACACCAAACCTCGCTGAGGCCTCGCGATCTGCGAATCCCGTGAAACGCTCGAACCAAGCAAAAGAGATTCCGGGTATAGGAGGCTGGAAGGCGTTGGAAAAGGCTTTCCGAGTATCGAGGTACCGGCTCACCGACCTGAGCGAGGAGTCTGTGAACGCCTTCTTTGAGGCCGTTCGTAGGGAGTATCAGACCCTGAACCTATGTCTCCCTCAACCTGCGAACCAGAAGACCTCATCGGGCTTTTCCGCAGACTCACGTCTAGCCCTCCGGGTCGAAACGTCAGCCCCCATCAGGCGTACTATGCCGGGAAGCTGCCAACTTACTGGGCCTCCCTCGACGAAGCCAACAAGGTGCACTGACATGGAAGGGGCCTCTGTGCTTCCAGTCGCGGGGCTGTGGCCTCAAGGAGGCTTCACTGCAAGGTTGGGCTCATGTTCTAAACCTAGGCAGGCCAGCTGACATACTGATGGGCCCTTGGCAGACCCACGGGTGATGCACACAGTGCCACCCAACTTCTCAGAAGAAGGTAGCACGGCCATAGAGGGATGACGGATGGCGTCGCCGCAAGGCACCCGAGGATGGCGAGCTAGCAAGCTTCACATTTGACGAGCAGGTGGGAACACAGGTCGTGCGAGGTACGCTTTTTCGAGGTTGCGAGCATGTTTAGACTTCAAGGCGGTGCCTTACATGACATTGTAAGATCGTGATTTTGCAAGACGAGCTGCTGCAGTACTTGGGACCTGTTGAAGGTATTCAAAGCTCCGAAGAAAACTGGGACCTTGGCAGCGCGTCTGCAAGCCACAGGAACCCTTGCCAGGGTCAGATCTAGAATTAACTAGAATTGAACATCGGTTCTTGTCCAGTGCGGGCCAATCTCAAGTCCAGAGTCCCGACTTCATGATTGCATGCTGTTCAGAAGTTGACCAGCGCGGCCTGCCGGCGAGCACACATCTGCTGCCGCCGCCTGGAAGCAGCCCAGGTCGCCTTCTTCAACGATGCCAGCGTGGGCTGCGCCGACTGCGAGCGCGGCCGCGAGGCCTCTCCCAGACTGTCACCTTCAATATTATTAGTATTATTGTTACTGTTACTAAGATTTACTACTATTACTGTTATTACTATTATTATTATTATTACTATTATTACTATTGTTACTATTATTACTATTATTAAACTGCAGCAGAACGCCCCGATATCCCGAAAGAAAGCGCTTGTCGACTTGTCGTCGGAGCTCTGGCAGCTCCAGTGAGCGTCCGTTCTTTTTTCAACAGCCGACCTGCGTGGCTTTGGCTGAAGCGCCCCAGAAACAGGTTCGACTTGCGGTGAAACCTAAAGGCTGAAAGAGGGATCCGGCAGTCATGGCTGTGGCGGCTGTGGAGGGGGAGTGGCTCATCAAGCTGGAGCGTGGCTGGAGCGCCTGGATCGTGGGCGAGCCCTGGTTGGAATCTGCAGAAACCGTCTCTTAAAGTCAGGCTCACTTTTGGGCGCCTTATTTTTTGGGGTTGGGAGGGAAGGCTTGTGGGGGTTGTAGGGTGGTGTCAGGAGTTTGGGTTTGGGCTCAGCTTGCCAGGAACAGAAGTTCCATGGACCCACTGATCAGCCGTTCCGATACATGTTCGGCAAGACGGAGTTCCAGGTGGAGTTTCAAAGCGAGACCGAAGGCACTTCCACGAATCTCTCCACTGGCAAGCCCCGGCCCTTGTGCTTTGTACCAAAAGGCCAGGCGCCACCTACCCAGGAGGCTGAGGAAGTCCCGGCTCCGCCCCAGGCTCCGATCCTGGAGATGTCGGAGAGGCCCATGCAAGCCACGAAGGCCGACAGCAACTTGCCCACGTGCTGCTACCTCGCGACCAACAACACCGCATCCTACGAAGGTGAGTACCACTGGCTCATTGAGTTGGAGAAGGGCTGGAGTCCTTGGATGCCAGGCAACGAGCCCTTCGATGGCAGGACGGATGAGCCCTTACGGTATACTTTGGGCAGGTACGACTTCGAAGTGCACTTCGAGGATGAGAGCCATGGCACGCAGACCAACCTGACCAGTGGAAAGGTGCGTCGCATTCAACGTCTGCGAAAAGGAGACCCCGTGCCCGCCTGGGAAGGCACAGGCATCAGGCGACGACCGGCCAATGGGACCGGAGCTGCCGACATCGCCCTGGCACCCGTGGAATCTGCAGCAATGGCTGCTCAGTCCAACCGAGCAGTCAGACGCACTGGTGGATATCAGGCAGCGGCTGTTGGTGCACCGGTGAAAAGCACGCAGAAGTTTGCCCTCCGCACATCCAAGCCTGCAGCAGGCCCTGCAGCTGCAAGGCCACAGGTGTCTGAGGCTGCCCACAAGGCAACTTCCGCTCCCAATCCACCGCGAAGTCCCGCAGGAGCCGCGGCGACAGCTTTGGGCCCGAACGGCACTGTCCCTCGCTTCATGCGGCCGCTGAAGTCCAAAGCCTGAAAAGGGGCAAGATAGGGTTCAGGGTGTGTAGATTCGTCTAGTTCTGCATAGTTACGCATAGCTTTACCCGTTCTTAGGCTTTAGACCTGGCATCGTAACATCGCTTTGCTCAGGCAGCTGACCTGAGCAAGCGGAAACCATGCCGAGAGAGCTTAAAAAGTCCCGAGTTTTGAAAACTGCAGCACTTGGACAGTCGTAGGATGTTCGAGTGCGTGCGGCTTTTGCTGCAGAAGGTACAAAGCTTTCTGCAAGCTGACGCATTGTTGTTTCGGTGGCACTTCCTAGAAGCAGCTGCCGGGCAACCCTGTACCAGATGGTCCAACCGAGCCAAAAGCACATGCTGCCGAGGTCGGAGAGTTTGGCGGGTAAGCTTGAAACAAAAAGAAGAGAGTTCTGAAGCCAAATCGCTCGCAGGCCTGGCGGTCGGTGCAGAGAGAGGCGCGGAAATCTCTCCGGTGTTTCTGGGCCCCCAGAGAGGGCTATGTTTGGGCGCCTTCAGCCTCCCCCTAAAGCCGGGGGCTCTTTTCGGAGGTGCTGTTGACCAAGCGGCTCCGGGAGCGTCTGCGCCTCTTCGTGCTGGACCAGCTCCGGGGATCTCAAAAAGGGGACTCCTTGGGAGTTGCAAAATTCAATGAGCTTTCAGACTTTTGGGCCATCAAAACAACATATATGGGTAGAGTTCGAAAAGGGCGGCTTGGTATATTGCACTCGTAGACCTCGTATAGACACCTGCACAGGCAGAAGCTGCTCGGGTACGTGCCAAATCTCCTTCAGCAGGTGTTTCTCGAGACCTCGCCCCGATGTAGCGTGGGCCCAGGTCCCGCAACGAGCACGGCGAGCAGCTGGTTCCGGGACGCCTTGCCCAGCCGATGGTGGCGCCTTGAATTGCTTGGGCTGAGCTTCACGTCTGTGGCTGAGGTTTCAGAGTGCCAGCTGTCTCCAGGTGTGTGCGGTTTGAGATGTGGATTTCTTGCTTTTCCTTCGTCACGAGGTGTGGCTGGCTTATTGTAGCTGGGTGGCTCCGTGGAGTAGGTACTTCTGCAGACTAGGCTCTTGGAGCCTTGGCGGGAAAGGGCGAACCCCTCGTTGCCCACAGCCCCTGCCACCGGCCCAAAGGCTTTCAGCATCTACGCTTCAGGTGTATTATCCGCCCGGCACAGCAGCTCAACGAAAGAAGCGGCGCCGAGTGACTCGACGCCGGTGTCATCAGCCCAACAGATTTTGTTGTTGTATTTTGTAAAGAATCCCAGGTCCAAGTTCCCTTCCGACTTGAGTTTTGGTTGTTGGGCTTCTTGTCTTACATCCTGAATTTCGGCGGTTTACGGCCTTCAGGCCTTAAAACCTGCTTCTGCTACTTGTCCCGTCCATCTCCAAAAAGTTGTCCGTCGGGTTGCTGTGCCATACATTCAAGACTGGCACATTTTTGACATGGCAGGCGATGGCTCTTGGCCTCAAGTAGCCTGAAGGAGTATCAAGCCCTACAAGCCGTGAAGGTGATGCACAAGATGAGTGAGCACTTCACGAAGGAGGGTATCCTCGAGGCCACGGGGCTCGCACAGTTCCCCCCCGACCAACGACCTCTCCTTCGCCCTGTTGTTTTGACAGGGGGTGTGGGGATGGGGATAATGACAAGCATGGCAGCCTGAAGCAGTTAGTCTCAGACCTTTTGCCTGAGTCCGTGCCTGCTTCGAGCGAGGCGAGTCGAGCGAGTTAGCCATGGCCAAGAAGAGGTGGTGTTGATGATGTTGATGATGATTGTTTCTTTCATGCTCCACATTTTCTCCGGTTCAACGGTTCCATTTTGCTGCATACAGTTACCTGTTTCGCCCCCCCCCCTCCGGGTTCTCACTCTTGGAGGGTTCGTTTTCCTCAGCAGTAGTCGTCGTCGTAGCAGTAGCAGTAGCAGCAGTAGTAGTAGCAGCAGCAGCAGCAGCACCACCACCACCACCACGACCACCACGACCACGACGACGACAACGACGACTACTACTGCTGCTACTGCTACTGCTACTGCTACTGCTACTGCTGCTGCTGCTGCTGCTACTACTACTACTACTACTAATCGTAGTTGCACTGAGTGAGGCTTGGAGCTGAGTCTTGGAGCTGTTTCACGCTGCCCTGCCGACCTTTTGTCCGGAGTTCAGGGTGACCCCAAAGCACTTTTGTGTACCGCTGGGAATTGGTGTAAGGGTTTACGGGTTCGGGGTTGGGGCTGCGTATACTGTGGAAACTTAACTCTGGAATGATGAGGGTAGCTAGTCTCGTGGCCAAAGTGTGACCTGCCAAGCGGAATTTTCGGAAGCTGGCACGCGGGAGCCAACAAAATCTTAGTAGACGTCGTAGTCGTCGTAGTCGCCTTCGTAGTGGTAGGCACAGTTTCAAAAGGATGAGGGGCAACGCAACAGCAGCAGCAGCAGCAGCAGCAGTAGTGGTGGTGTTGCTTGTGCTGCTGCTCTTCGGCTGGAGGCTTGAGACATGGGCTGCGCAGTGACCCCAAAGCCTGAAAGCTGCAGATCTCGGGGTGTTAGCGTCCCTTCCTTTTCAGCTGATCAGGTCATGAATGACCTGCTGGAGGATGAGGACGAGGGCGAAGAGGAGGAGCTGTGACGGTAGAGGACCCGAAAGTCCGGGTTCAGCATGGATCCTCGGGTTCAGTTGCAATGGGATGTGCATGTTTCTTTAACTTTATAAAGCTTCATGGGGGTTGCCGGTGGCTTTGGAGCTGGTCCCGGTATCCATGCAGAAGCGAGATGAAGTAGGCAGTAGGAGTTTTGTCTGCCGGCTTGCTCAGCGGCAGGTAGAGACTTTGGTCTCGAGTGTGGCATCTTGCCCGTGTACATACCCTGCCGGGTGCCAAGATCGAGAAAAAGACAGGTGACCACTCGAAGATGGATCGCACCCGAGCCCCATGCTAACTCACCTTGGAAGCCGATGGGCATACCGAGCAAGCCCCCGCACTGCAGGTGCTACACTTGTTGCTCTACGAAAGGTCTGTTTGCCCGGGATGAGGATCTAACTTCGCAACTTCATCCCGCAAAGTTTAAGTATCTGCTGTTGCGGTTCCTCGGCTTCTGGGTGCCTGCACCGAGGCATCGCCTGGCAGGAATTAGCATGTCAGCACACATGTAGGAAGCGGCATGCATAACCTGAGTTCAGCGTGCGAATGTGCCTGTGACCTTGGTCCATACCGAACACCTTGCGCAGGAAACGACTCCTTCAAGATACCACGTAGATCTTTCCTCCGTCGGAAATCTTGTAGGAGCTTGTTGCATTCGTTTGTCCAGCTCAAACACGAAACAGGCGAAGAGCACCCTACCCTTATCGGTGCATTCGAAGGAATCAACACGCCTGAGTAGTTGTTCAACATGATGTATGAATCCTTTCATTCAGAGTCTCATTAGCTCACAAATCTCCCTCGCCGATGGCCGCCGCCGCCTGCTTGCTCTGTCGGTCTCCTGTTCAGACCTCAGTGCAAGCCTGTTTTGTCCCTCAGCTTGGTCCCACCAACATGACGCAGCGCTTTGCAGGGTGGAGAGGTACAGCCCGACCCTGTTACGCAGCTGCAAGCTGTCGAGCTGCTTGACCGCAGCGATTGGTCGGACAGGTTCTGTTTCTGCACTGAGCTAGAGACTTTTGTTATGTCAGGTTTCTCTGGTTGCTGTCGAAGGAATGTAGTTTCCGACTCATGAACTTCAACTTGGTTTGACAGATCCTTTGGGCTGCGAGTCTGCGAGGAGCCGCGACGAAGATGATTGCTCCGACGAGTTCAGGCACCTCTACCCCAGAAACATACGACGGTAAGGGACAGTCCGGGAGATTTAGCCATAGGCCATGCTGGACATGCTGATGACAGCTGCATAGCACTGCGTGTGGCACAATCTCGGAGTTTCGCATCCCTACGCCAAGATGGCATAAGGCTACTAAGGCTACTGTAAAGACAGCCCGGGTCCGACGCCCCACGGCACAGGCACTTGATGGAAAAGCTCGTGTCCAGGCATCTGCACGAGCTCGCCGAGCTGAAACAGGCGTGGCAAGCTCCGTATAGCTTCGGTGCCTATCGCCCATCTCCCCAAGCGAATAATTCCGACCTCGGATCCCTGCTATTCCATTCCGAGACGAAACGCTTGGAAGCGAGGCCTCGAACCGAAGCCGAGTCCCCAACTGAGAAGAGGCGGCCAACAGGAAATTAGCATTGACCTCGGATGAAAGTCATGTACTTCGTCGCATACCGGCAATATTCCTCAGGGCCTATTCCGAGCCTCTCAAGCGCAGGAGCTTCTGTTCTGCCAGCAGCGACAGAGTCGCCAGCCAGAAGACGACGAGGCCCAGGGAGTAGCTCTGTGCTTCGAGGGAGTTGATGGTTCTCGAGGCTCGAAGTAGGAGCACTTGGTTTGCACCATTCCTGGGATTACTGTCATATCATACTAGGACTCCCAAGTTCTCATTTGCAGCGATCACGCCGGGCTGACAGCAGGTTTTGCCGGAGAGTGCCGCGAAGGGCCACCTCTCCCCCAGCGCCTCTGGGCGTGATGGCGTGATGGGTCATGACGGTCCTGCAGTTCTGGGTTTAGGGTTTCGGGTTCCGGGCGACAGAAGCCTGCTGCAAAAACAGGTTTCGGGTGCTGCGCAGAGCCTGGGTACGTTCAGGCTTCTGGTTTGGTCAGGTTTAGAGTGCCTGAGCTTTGGACTGCTTTTAGCGGGAAAAGATACTTGTGTGCGGTGGGGCTCCTTGTGAAAGTTGATGTCGGCAGCGCCCGGGAATTGAAAGCAAGCTATCAGCTGCTTCCCACAACAGGGTTCAGGCATGTTCATGCTCCTTGTGCAGCAACAGAGGTTCCGGTGCCCGATGTGTCTCCAAAACCCTCGACCCCGCGACTGTCGCCGCGACAATCGCAACGGCCGCATATTGCAACTTGGTGCAAAGTCAATCTTGTGTTTACAGCACAAAGCAACGCAGCAAACTGTGATCAAAGTGGCCCATACAAGGCACCAGGAAAGTAGTCTCGTAATTCTGAGTCTCGTAATCCTGCAGCATTCCCGGGCGAAGGATCCAAAACCGACACGTTTTATCGGCTCAGGGGAAGAACATCTCCGTTTCGAGCTGTTTGGCGCCCCTGTCCGGCGAGGAGGTGGAGGAGACCTGACTGCTCAGTGGAACCGTCTTGCATCCAAGAACACAGGGGTCCCAACGTGTCTTCTGTGTGGCCAATGACTAGTGGTATTTCGAGGATCAGTTCACGATTGTGCACCAGTACTTTTGTTACTACTCTACATGGTATGATGGCGGTGCCGACCAGTACCGTCAAGATGATGACGACAAGTACGAGAGCCAGTGTTATGGCCGATGTCACGCTGTCAGGTACAGGCTAGCTCCCGCGAAAGCCGGGCAGAGCCGGATGAAAAGGCGCTGAACCAGGCAGCGGAGGAGCCGAAGAAGGGTTTCTCTACGGCCTTTCGCCGTAGCTACCAACTGGAAACAGGAGGGTTAAGGCTCTCTTGCAGGACTATGGGCGTCGTTGACTACAGACTCGGGGGCTGTATGTTTCGTTGTCGGCTCGATACAATGTCGGCTGCACTGTGAACAATACGGTTTTGGGGTCAAGGAATTCAAGGGTGTCGGTGCTCAGCGACGCTTAAGGCAGTACCTAATCGGGATAATTATGTGCTTCCCAATCTCAAGCGCTGAAGCACCGATGCCTCCTGCCGGTGCTATTTTGCTTCTTGTAGCCGTGGCAGGTCTCGCATCAGCATGTACTGGCGGTGACCGACAGACAGTGACAGAACAGTGGAACGGCCAGTCGGCAAACAGGTGACCTGAGCACCATCGGGTTGTGTTTTGGCTCACAGATAATGAGGCTGCCTGATTGTGCTTCTTCTTATTGCGGGGTGTTCATGCTCCGTGCGTCGGTGCTGCCATTATGGCCGCTCGTGTCGGTCGAGCTTCTACCTGCCCTTTCTTCTTTGATGATCATGTCGCCGGCATTCACGATGTCGACAACATCGATCACATGTTGGTGTTGTTGGCGGTGGTACTTGAACTTATGCTGGGTACCCATGCACCCTGGTCCGGTTGCCTCTTCAGTGTAAGGTTCAATGTTCTTCTTTTTGTTGTCGCTGTGCTCCAGAAGCACAGGTTGCCCTCGTCCATTCTTTTGGCTTTGTCACTGTCTGGCCTCTGTTGCCGTGGTCGCCGTTGTCATTGAAGTTATCTTTACTGTGCAAGTGCCGCCAAAGTTCCCAGTCTCTAGCAAGCACCGGTTCCATCGCCAGACTTCGCAGTCCTAGCACGACAGCGGATGCTGCAGAACCTACATGTGCCCTGAGCTGCGGGAAGAACGGTCAACCTGTCAAAAGCAGTGCCCAAGCATGTTGGAAGAAAGAGGAGTTGCAGATGGAGCTCGGCTCGATGATGGAGGGGACGCACTACGAGCCCCCGGAGGATGCTCTGAGCACCGAGAGTCTTAGGGATGTGTTGGGCGTGAGAGGTTTCTATTTCTGGGGTGGCACCCCGGATTACGAGAGCAGAGAACTGGAAGCGTGAGTTGTTGTTGACTTCCACCAGAAAGGGTTGGGGACATGTAGCAGCATCGGCGGCACGGCAACGGCCTGCAGACAGCAGCAACAGCTGCAGTCATGTCAGCCAACGATTGCAAGGGAACTCAGACGTGTGAAGGCAGTGTGAATATGGAGCTTGGCTTTGCGAGCAATCAAGAGGTGGACCACTCGTGCTGGGGCCGTCTGCGACGAATCTTTGCTTCACCGGAGTACGAGCTACTCGGCCATGCAAAGGCTCCCTCACGGCAGTGATAGATCCTCCACTGCACCGGCATATGATTTTTGATACAGTTCGATTTCAGGGCACCGTGTCTCCGAGCAACCATTGGGACTGGAGAAGTTCGGCTTGCTTGGGGTTTGCTGTCGCTGCTTCCATTGAGGACTCTGGCTGGGCTCCGAGAGCCTGTGCCGATGCAATTGGAAGGGCTCCGATGTGGACTTAATATAGTATAACATATCATAATATAACGAAATATAGTATACAGTAAAATAAATAATGTAACATATGATATTATATAACAATATACAATGCCATGCCGAGACATGTAGCAGTGAAGCTGAACTCGCAGCGAGGGTCTGGGCCGGTCCTGCAAATCTGTTTAAAGCTCTTCCGGTCCATGCCCCGACTGTGGAGCCTTTTGCTTCAAGGATGCCTCTCTCCAAAAAGGGCCTTTGAGTTTCTGGCAAGATACAGGCTGGCGGACTTATTCCTGGAATCTTCATCTTAATCTTGGGTCAGACCAAGTTTGCGAACTTCTTCCCGCATCACACCACCTAGCAAGGCTTGCTGTCACGCTTCTCATTTTCGTGAATGCATTGGTGATTGGTCTTCAGTTCCAGAAACCTGGCTGCAACGGGGCAATTGGAGAAACTAAGGGTTTGGTCCAGAAATTTTCCAGCTGTTCCGGCCCTGTTGCCGGCTTCAGGCCATGATACTTTGGAGCACCTGTGCTTGATCCCAACCACGAGTCTGTTGGAGACCAGGCTTCGTAGACCTCCAGCAAAACAGGAGAACCGACTAGCCTCCTGCCTTGTATCATTGTAATCATTAAAGTCGAAACCTGCAGCTAGTTTTATAAGAGAGGTTTTGCACGCTCACGAAAGATCCTGGACTGAGGTATGAAGGTTTTCAGCTTGCCCACTTGATCAGCTTTCCCGGTCACTTGCTGCAGCCTTGTTGGGCCCTGTTTGGACAAGGGGCGGCGGACCTTGCGCGATTTCATTCTTGGGGTTCGGACGTATTGATTGTGCCTTTGAAGTCTTGGGCGGCTTGATCGACCTCTGTGCATCCGCGATCCTAACATTCTGCGAGTTGGACATAGATGATGAGGTGTGGCATAGCAAGGGGTCCGGCCTTCTCGGAGATGATCCAGTCATTCACGACATCTTGCGGACCAACGAAATTCGTTGATGTATGAGCCCTTCTTCCGATAGGGGTAGCTGTCGGGATTCCGGGATTCCTGTCTTGCGATATTCCGAAATTCCATGACGTTCACCTCTGCGAGCAGCACCGAAAAGCAACCCTCGACTGCAGATAGGTCTGGTTTGGGCCCTCGACCGGTGTGGATGTACATGTAGCATTGAAACCATCACGCACGGCACTTCCGGGCCCAGTGCGCATTCATGCCAATCCCTTTTGGCACCAGCCTGGTAGTTCGCGAAGGCGGAGCGATGCACGTCAGAGTTTGTCGCCAGTCGAGATCCGCAGGCTACAGCGCTGCAGCGGATGAGCTCTGGCCTGGAATCTCAACTGTCTTCGACGTGCTGCAGGTGACCTTCACGCGCCTCTGGCTTGATTGTTGGGGGGGTGTTGCTGCACCAGGTAGAGTTTTACCAAGACCCCTTCAACCGAACTCTGTTCCCCCAGACTCAGCCACATCGTCATGCCGAGGTCCCTCTTTTTGGCCGATGTGCTGATCAGAGGATGTCTTTTCTGTGCCGGCCCCAGAAACAATCCGACATCACCGGACCTTCGCGTACTTGTAGGCGCCTGTGGTCTTTCTGAGACCTGGGTAACAGCGGTTGCCCGCCTAGACATGGATCAGCGTATCTTCGGACACATGTCACTTTCGCATGAGGCCCAGCTGGCCACACACTGCTGAATCCTAAGTGAAAGCCGTTGGTGTTTCAAGATCTATGCAGTGCCCCACCTGCAGCCCACATCTCTTCTCGCGCTCTGTCGCCCGTGAGGGAAGACTTTCTTCTGCGATTGGTTCAACTGGCTGGACCTTGTCGTGGTCCTGTCGAGTGCTTGCGCTGCAGGTTTGCAGTTTCGGATGTTAGTGGGTCTCAATTTCGGGTTTGAGGTTCAAGTTCGCTTTCCAGACCGCACATCAATGACGGCCCTGGACTTCAAGGTGTAGCTCATGACACCGCTTGATGTATTGTTAAGTGAGTCATATGAGACTATTCTGAGACGGCACCTGAATTCCGGATGGGGCCTTTGCTCCAAGGTGTTTTTGACCTTATCACGTCCGGGATGTTCAACACGAGTGTCCCTGCCTCAAGGACCAGGCTTATTGTGCGACTCCGGTTTCGCAGCCTGTGGTTGTCGTTGATGCCTTCTCAGGTCCTTCGGTTGCTGCGCCTCACGAAGCTGACTCGGAGCATCCGAATTTTAAAGGCCAGAGGATTTCCGGCTTCAGATGCCTACGGGGTCAAGGGGTGACTTTGCAAGTGGAAGAACCACTCTAGATTGCCCCGAAGAGAGAGATGCGTAATGCTACATCTCAGATGTCGGCGCGGCATCATAGCCACGGTAAGTTGCTTTCGCGCATTCTGCAGGGAGGTGCAAGGTTTCAAAGGGGCTCTCGGAACTTTGCCGCTGGGGGGTGCTGGCAGGTCCGCTTTTGTTGCCCAATTGCTTCACACGCTCAGGTGCTCACACGCACACAACCGCGCGTACGTACGCTCACCATACTCTGTGCTCTGTGCATCGGTGGCTGAGATGGAGGAGCTTCACGGACTCTTAGGGTCTTAGGGTTCACTAGCCAAACTTCGCAGGTGTCGAGCGTGCTTGACTCGCTGAACATGATCATGCCGCCGGACTGCAGGTCGCAGGCTTCGAAAAGCTCAAGTTGCATCTGAGAGGGAGAGGAGCACAGTACAGAGCATCAGTAGCCTTGGTGGGAAATGTTGGACATGCAGTAGTTGTTCCCGGATTTCTTTCGATTGTCACAGAAGTGTTTAACGCTGTTAGAAGGCACGGGACCCTACTGTAAGGTACGGAAGGCTCATGCGCTGTCAGGACCCTACGAGTGGACCCCACATGAACCACACATGTTCGTAAGTCCTGTTGCTATCCTTGCTTGGAGACTCCAAGGAAGTGCCTCCGTGCCAGTGTGGGTACTTTATTCTGGTCCTTGTGCGTCCTCTTGGTCATCCAGTGCCTCGATGGTTTTTCTTTTTGATTAGGTGGTTTCTTAAGATTCGGGCTTCCTTCTTTCTGCATCTTTCAATAAAGGATACTGCTATGCAAGGTTTGGGTTCTATGTTACAGTCAGGGTCTCGTATTATGTAAGGCCCCCATATACCATAGGAACCGCCAGGATGCGCCCGGAATCTTGAAGGCACGCGTTCGCGTTTGCATTGGATTCGTCTCCCAGCAGATCCACGACAGACCGATTCTCTCACATGAAGCATGCACTCGGATTGAAGCCGACGGCCTCCAAGTCGCTAGATTTCGCACGGACCGAAGAGGCCGTACATCCCAGGCCTCACCCAGCCCCCAAGTCGGGTAGTGGATCCGACAGATCTTCGAAGGCCAAACACTCTGAGTTTGGAGGCGTGTAGTCTTCCGTGATGTTCCCCGCACTTACTACCTCGGAGCTGAGGTGCATTGGTGCCATCGTCATCATGTACACAGTGCAAACATACATTCGCAGTCCCAACGACCTCACGCAGGAAAACAGGCAGCTTTTTGAGGGATGCAGGGTCCCAGCGCTGTAGTGTATCGTGGCTTGAGCACTCGGAGATCATGCGCAGAAACATATGCCTTGGATCATGAACATCTTCCTGTCGTCAGCTCTTTGCTCCGTGCCCAGCAGGTTGTTGGTTTTCGCTTACTTTGGCACCTTCTCGCGCTCCATGCTGACCATGTTTGAGGCCGGATTATTCGGAAAGTCGTGCTGAACTTGTTTATACTGGGGATTGCGGGAGCAATGTATTCCTTGCTTGGTGACGTATATGTCCATGTTTAGGGCAGTTGGAAGGGTCCTTTCGCTTGATCTTCTTCCCGAAGCTGATAGCTGGTCGTAAACCGCTTTGTGGCCATGCAGTTGTTTCCGGCTTAGGAAGAACCCAAGCTCCTTCTCATCCTAGAGGAGTCCATGTATGTCCGTGCCAACATTCGCTCACATGTTTCCCAGGTTCTCTTCGCTAACTGGATAACACCTTGTCGCATACTGGTGGAGCATTTGCGGCTTGGCTTTGGTTGTGGACACGTAGCTGGACCCAGCTGTCGAAGAAGCGATGCCGTTCTGACCGGATTCGGACTTGTGCTTATCTGAGTCTCTCGGGAGAGTTTGGTACCGGAGCGGGAAATCGTACAGACACTGATTAGGCCGTACTCTCCGCCTATCCCGGCTGACGACTGTCCTGCCAGCTCAAACGAAACCAGGAGCGAGTATTTCTCCGCCGTCTTTATCTTGTGACCTGGCGGCTGTCGGGTTAGTGTTGACCAGACTTCAGAATGGAAAAGGCAGTGTTGGAAGTGGGTATTTGGTCTTGTGTATTGGTTCTGCAACGCCCGTGGTGAGACAGCCTAACAGATTCTTCCATAATTTAGCACCGGCATTCACAACTTGGATTTCGAAATTGTCACAGACGTTTCCCACGCGCAACGACAGAAAGTGTACTCAATCTTTGGCCAACATGGAAGGATAGGGCCGCTAAGTTTCAATTGATTGTCTGCGCTGACTAGACAAAACGATGACTCAGATGTTACGTGGAAGCACCATGGCCAGAACATGTCATGGATATTGGACCGAGGTGTAGTCAACCCATACATGCATGCAAACATGCATGCATACATACACACCTGCCTACACAACTACGTGCATGCACATCCGTCCGTCCATCCCTGCATCCAATGCATCCATCCATCCATCCATGCATGCTGCATGCAACAGACACATGCACCTGTCTGTTTATGATTGGATGTAGCCATGTAGCTATGTGTATATTGTGTACATGTATATCGACAGACCGACAGGCATACAGACAGGCTGTCGTACAAGCCGCTATTTTGTCATTGGCAACACAACAGTGAGCACATAAGTTGAGATCGCCTATGCCGAGGAGACCAGCGATTGACAAATCCACGGTCGTGAAACGGACCCATCGTTGTATGATTCAAGTTGGCGCTGGAAACTCAATATTTTTTTGAATGAAGCTGTCTCCGTAGGCGAAGAAACAACAAGCGGAACATCGTGTTTTTGGTACTTTTCGTGGCGGCGGTAGAAGCCGCATAGGACCCCTCAACATTTTAGCCTTCTTCTAGAAGCATTCAGGGCAAAGCATGCGGCCAAAGTCTGAAGACCATGCATGGAATTCCTGTGTGCTTTTTCGAATTCGCGAACGAGAGCGCTTCAAAAGCTGTATTCTTCCAGGTACCGGTGTTTGGTTGGCTTTGCCGTCTTGAACGTCATTCAGGTGGGTCTCAGTGCCGATGCTACATCCAACTGCTGAGATCTGGGTCTCAGGGCGTGTGATGCCAAAGGTTTCGCAGGATGCAGACATTGAGACGAGCTCGCCTCTTGCTGACAGTTGTGTCTACTTAGGATGTAGAGAGAGCCTGGCACTGCACTCCTTCCCAGTTTCTGCATCAAGGTCAGGTCGCTCAGGTCCAGGGTGCTCAAGTCTACCATACGGCTCCATGATGTGGCCTCATCTAGTGAAGGGTTGATGACCCCTTCCGGGGCCGGCCCATTCGACCTCTTCGTGCTATTGCCCTGACTGGCATGGATACCTCGGCCATGGCTGTGCAACCGCAGAGCTCGACAAAGCACGTTTGGCCACAAGACCCTGGCAGGCCGTGTTCATCCAGCGCACCATGCAGGTGGCCCAGGCAGGTGTAGTTCTTCTTGGGGATTTCGCTGGGCAGCAAAGGAGACCAGAGCTTCGGAGGGGACCTCAACTTGAGGCGTTAGCAAGTTCACAGGAGCTTGCTTTGTGCAAAGCCTCCGTTTATCACATCCCTGCGTACACTCTTCTGGCCATGTGCAAGGATGACAAGGAACTGCAGCTCAAGCAGAAACAGTATGCCGCCAAGACCTTCGAGCGAAAGCTGCGCTACATCTTCGAGGAGTCCGTTTCCTTCACACGAGGTTCGGTTACGGCCAGGTTTTTGTTCTTGCTCGTCGTGCAGCGTCTGGGTTGTCAGTCGGTTCGTTAAAAAGCAAAAAAGGACAGCCTTGCACATAGAATCCGAGCGCGAAGAGGGTTGGCCGAGCCCGGTCGCGAGTTCCAAGGAGGCTGTCCGGAAACTCAGTTCTGCGTGCTATCTGCGAGGAGCTCGACACTTCTGGAGATGGCATCGTGCCGCTTGCTCTGTCCATGGCCTCGAGGGCAGATCCCGATCCTGTTCACTGCTGCAAAACCCGCCAGTAAAGCCGTAAAGCCATTGGAGGAGCCCTGTGGCCCAGGACTTGGGAGGAGTTCGATGACCAGCTCAAGGATCCTCGCACTGGCGCACTGCTTTCCATGATCGAGATCCTCGGACTTTCTCCTGTCGCTTGGGGACCGGGGCGATGAGGATCAGCAGTGGCTGATGGGTCTTCAGGATTTGTGAGTCTGCCAACGATCCCTCAAACTTGGAAGGGCAAGGTTTCTGGATGTCAGTTTTGTGGACCTAGTTTATGCCTGCCGCCGGGCAGAGCACTTGAAGCCAATAACTCTAATCTCACTCGGCCGGGTCACGGCAGGCTTTTGAAGGACCTGGGACATTCGGGAGAGTTGGGGCTGCGGTGCTCGCAAGTAAGCACTTTTGAATGGACACGTGCGCAAAGCAGCGTGGCAGGTGGATGAACGAAGGAATGCACACACCCGCCCCTTCTGAAAGTGCACCTACAGCATACAGTAATACAGCAAACACCGATTGCTTGGCGAAGAGATCAGCTTGACACTGAAAACACCCGAGGATCGATGCCCAGGACCTCAGGCTGACTTTCTTTCGGGAGGTTTGCTCGTTCTTCTATGCTGCTGTGTGGGGATTCTATCGGGCTGGCTCTTCGCCTTCGTCAACGCAGCTGCTTTGCTTTGGAAGTTGGCCGGAGAAAGTCGAAAGCAGGGCATGGGCTCTTTGCACATGTGCTTGAGAAATAGAGTGGTTGCTATAGATGGAGCATGACTGCCAAACCCCCGCAGAAGCTTCGACTCCTGATTCTTCACCGAGCCTCTCAGACAGTATGTGTGCGGGGGACATCATTGCGCCCGTGGGCTTGCTTCTGTGAGACTTGGGAGCCCAAGTCCGGGACACCGAGCCCGAAGCCAAAGCCCTGGCAGGGTATTTTACGATTTGTTGGATGACGGAGATGGCCGGGTGGACGCGCAGAAGCATCCTGACTGAAGTTAGGAAACGGCGCCTTTGGCATGTCTTGGCGCGCAATCGGAACGAATGGACCATAATGGACCAATTATGCAAGGGTTTTGAAATCTTGGTGGGCGTCTCCTTGACATGGCTCCGGATCTGTTTTTCGATCTCATACAGTGTGTGGCATACCGCTTTGAGTGCATTCCGTGGGATGTCATGCGAGCTTCGTGTTCTGGTTGGGCACTCACCCCCACGACTGACTCCGAAAGGTTTGCGCAAGGCGTGCTGGCAATGAAGGGCCCCGTGGGGATCCCAGCAATCAGCTCACGAGGGGTTTCTGTGCTGGATCCGGGGCTTACTTGGTTTCCGGTTGCCGAGCAATCTTCGGTTTCAGATTGGATGATGGGCTGGATGCGGGCAGCGCCCAGAAACTGTAGGCTTCAGGATCCAAAGAAGCTGTTGCATCATTCGATGTTGAATCTCGGTTCCCTGGTGGAAGTGACCACGATGGCGGTCATTGTCATAGTAGTGGTCGTTGCTGTTGGCTCATTGTCGTCGTCGTCGTCGGTCGTGGGTGGTTGGGGTAGTTATCAGGGTCGTGGTAAGGGTGCGGTCTCTGGCAACACGACGGAGTGATGCCCTCTAGCACGAGCGGACATGCGCAACAGGGGCACCTCTGAGGGGGCTAAAAGAAATTCGCTGGGTTGAACGATTGATTCGCCATCAGACCGCAGACTTTTTGCCAAGCTTATAGACGGAGACGTTGTTTTCTTGTTTTTTAATGGTATTGTTCTGGTATAGTATTATACGGTGTCATGCAATAGTACACTATATCATGCTATCTTCTATTGTGTTCGAGTATGTTGTGTTAGTATATTTTACTACATCCTACTCCAGTATGCTATCTTATGTGGTATTGGACAGCATTCCAATCACGTCATATATTGCATACCTGCCGATGCTGTCAGCAGAGGCTTGCGAAAGACCGGAGGCCGAAGCCGGATTTTGAGCAATGCAGATATTGACATTGATGTCTCCAAGTCTTACTGCTATGTATAATGATGTGAGTTCCGCAGGGGTGTCAGGTAGGTGCATGGGAACCACACACAGCCTGAAATTATCGCGGGCAGTCAGAACAAAGTGCTGCTGCTGCAACAGCAACCGGCCCCTGCTCTGACTGCCACTGCTCTTACCACCGCCGGCTACTGCTTCCGCTGCTCTTGTTGCATGCTTTCCTGGAGTGCAAAAGGATTTTTCTGATAGCATGAACCAGCATATGGAAGACTGCAGTATCTTCACGGACTTTTACATGGCCTGTCCAAGTTTCATTCGCTTCTGCCTGAGGCAAAGGGTATTGATCTGGCGCAGCTGAGCAAAAACGTCAGCCGGCTTGGTCTCATGGCGCCTTCGGCAGCTGCTTTTTCGGGGCGTAGCAGGGCCTGTCTTTGGTTGGGGCCCTGATTCGGAGCTCTTGCAGGCGTAGAGATGTATGCGTATGCAGTGGCAGTGGAAACGGCCCGTAGAGTCATCACAAGCGAGTTGCTTCAATCTTTTTCGCGACCGGCATTTAGCACTTCTGTCCAAGTAGGGCTGGGCTTTGGGGTCGAAGTCATTCCAGCAGTGAGAACTGTTAGCACTTGTAACAGCAAGTGCACACGAACCGGGCACAGAAAGAACCAGAGGAAACATAGTACGTTCTCCCAGATCATGATAGGAAGTAAGGCCCAAGGAACGAACACCACGAAAAATGAGTCCCTCCCAGGAAGGAAGCCAGCCCCACAGGTGCAGCAGCTCTCCGAGAGCTTGGGGACGGGCCGCGTTTCTGTGAGATCGACCCTCGGGCGTTTCATTTTTGGAGGCTACCTCTTTTCTCTTTTCCCTAACCCAGGGTTTTGGGGTTGCTATCAGGGTTAGGGCCGGTTATAGGCTGCTGGGCACGAAGAAGGGATTGGCTTGAGGACTTGCACGGAATCTCGAGAGAGCAACTTGGGTTGGTCGGGATTCCTTCGAACATGTCGCTGGACAGCTGCTTGAGCACAGATACGTGCAGTCCCGAGCTGCAAAGGCCGAACGTGCTTACTCACCAATAGAGCAACGCGATGTTGTTACCTTCTTGCAGTTCTGTACTCGCGCACCCACTGCCGGTGTTTGCTGCTGATCATAGTGGTTGCTGACATTTCTTTTTTTCCTCGTCGCTCCTGGTACGCTTGCTAGAAGGAACTGCCAGCAGTGCTTGGAAAGTGCATGAACTTTTCACGTCATTGCTTCAAGCCGCCTCCCAGATATGCGTTGCCTCATTGCACGTCTCTTGAGATCCAGTATCATAAAAAATATCACAGAATAGCATAGTATAACATTGTTTAGCAGTACATAGCACAATTATAGTCTCATAGAGTATAGCAACACCAACATGAGACCCTCGGCCAGAGCCGGCGCGTAAGGAGCGACTACAGGGCCCGGACGTAGTTCGGCGACTACGCGAGGATTGGTCTCCGAGCTGGTGGGTCTGGGGCACAAGTAGAGGGGGCGCCTTAATCATTTGCTACTTTTGTTTCTAGCGATGACTCCTGTTCTTGCCATGAACTATTTTCATGGTTGTTGCTGCTACTATGCTTGCGTTGTTATTGTCTTTACGACTATTCTTATGTTTGTTTTTGTACTTGCTGCTATTATTGGAAATGGTGCATTTATTGTTCTTCTTATTATTGTTCTTATTTTTGTTCTTATCGTTATTATTATGATGCCGTTAGGAGGCGCCATTGCAGCCTCTCGGAATCCACGGAAACACGGGCCCTTGAAGTGCAGATGTCCTTAGGTTCAGAATGTAAACGGCACCGGAACCTAGAAGCAATTTGCTATAATAATGTAGGATAATATAGCATGATACACTGTAAGATAATTACGCGAAACATCTATGAGATGATTTGTCCGGGCCTGGGACGAAGCTCGCGATGCAGGCAGGCGGCCGGCTGCTGCCTGGGATTCTTGAGGAATTTATGGAACTGGCTTGCTCAACGAGGCATCGCTGGCCCTCAAAGCGATCTGCAAAGAGGTTTGTAGAACTAGCCGCAACAGCTGTGCCAGATGCCTGTTGGCAAGCACACTGACTTGCTCTTTCGAAGAAAGATCGCTCGCAGTTCATGAAGTGAACTCCAGCATGGTGTTGTTCGAAGTTAGGCTCCCAGTTTTTCCGGGTTCTTGAAGGAAGCTGCTGCTTTCATTGGGCCTCAAAGCTGACCTCACCCGCTTCAGGGAGAGCTAACTTCCAGCATCCGCCCGTATCTGTTCTGTTTTCACACTGATTTCGGTGCTGTTGATCAAGACAGGGCTCTTCTCTGCCAGCCCCGGGAGATTGCTTGGATTTCGCTGTCTTTGAGCAGTTCTTTTTTGTTATTAACGACTTGTCAAGGGGGCACGCTTCAGGTAAGCAGGGCCGCCAAATAAGGAACCCGATGATTGAGAGGGGACCTCTCGTCTTGATCAACAGCCATGTCAGAGCCGGGAGCATATCTTGATCGTGTCTTGTATCCCGATCTGCTCGGAGAGCAATTGGTTCTGGCAAAGCCCATCAGTGAGGCCTCGCTAGAACGCCACCCTGTGGCCTGCGCGGATTGGACCCGCTTGCAAGGCATCCAAACTACAGCATCTGGTGGTTGTGTGGCGGTGGTTGTGATGCTTGTGGTGGTGGTGGTGGTGGTGGTGGTGGTAGTGGTGTCGTAGGAGCAACAGCAGCAGTAACAGTAGCAGTAGCAGCAGATGCAGCAGTAGTAGCAGCAGTCGCAGTAGAAGCATCAGTAGGGCTCTTTGCAGCAGTAGCTGTGGTAGCAGCGGCAGTAGTAGCAGCAGTAGCAGTAGCAGTAGCAGCAGCAGTAGCAGTAGCCGTAGCCGTAACAGTAGCAGTAGCAGTAGCAGATTCAGCGGCAGCGGCAGTAGCAGTAGCAGTAGCAGTAGCAGTAGCAGTAGCAGTAGCAGTAGCAGTAGCAGTAGCAGTAGTAGTGAGTAGTAGTAGTAGTGGTCGTCGTCGTAGTCGTAGTAACTAGTACTCGTGGCAGCAATAGCATCAGCAATATATCCTCCGCAGCAGTTGGCCAACTTGATGATGCTAGGAGTGCAAAGATGAAGCAGCGCGGTCAGCTTCTGCCTTGCCCATGCCGCTCTGAAATTATCCTTGATGATTTCTGCATCACGCCTGGCCCAAGCCACAAGTGTCAAAAACCTCGCAGCGACTTCCAGACTTGAGTTCTTGAACAGCAAGAAGACTTGCAGGCCCTGCCACTGGAGCCACCGAAAGACACCGGTTTTCTTCGACCCTTGAAATGCTGGGGCGGACCATGCTGCGGTACTGAGTGACCGTGACGACCTGACTTTGAAGACCGAGGCACGCGCCGTTGAAGAATTCATACGCAAGCTTCAAGGCTAGGTCGGCTAGGTGGTGTCTGTTTCTGTTTACAAGCTCGGCACATACTGAGGGCTCCTCGTTCCTGGCGGTTTGTGAATTCATCGTGGATTGACGTCTGCTGCCTTTGTTGCCTTGTTCTGGAGGCCATGCTGCCGTTCTTTTCTTGTGCTAAAGCGGTTGGGAAGAGGAGTCGATGGCTTGTGTGGTGAGGCTCTCATGGAGCATCATGCGATCTCATGGGGCAGAGCGTTCCCACCTCAACTAATCCCAGGCTGAGATCGATCCCGGCCCATCATGCACAGAAAGCCAGCTGAATGGAGGAGGCCCCGCTTCGGATCGGGTGACATGTGCCGAACGTAACCTGGGAAGAGCTTGATGTAAACCCTCGAATTCTGCGAGAACCTTCAGACTCTGGTTTTTTGGGGTTGAACTTCCTTTAGAGTCTAGCGCCATCAGTCCGGCCAGGGCTGCCAATCCTCTCAAAATGACTGTGTCGTCGGCTCGGAAGCGCCTGGCAAAGGAAAGCGCCGAGTCGGTGGCAGTTTTTGGCCGTTTCGTGGAGCCCAGAAGCTGCGAATCTCTCAGCTGACATTCTTTTGGATTAGGGCGATTAGGGGTTTAGGCTTTAGGGGGACTATAAGTATATACTACAGTACACTACATCCATGTAGTACCGCAGACGTGTGAGACGGAAGCCCAGGCAAAGTTTCAAGGGCACTACGGCAGTTCGCCTCTTTTTTTTGTTGCTGCTGTTGCTGTTGTGGCTGTTTGGCATCCTTGAGACGAAAGGCGGCCGCCCCGGCCTGGCGGCGTGGCCTCGGGGCTCTGCAGCGCCTGGCGCGCGAGAGGAATCGCTTCTGCTTTGGGGCGAAGCGCAGGGACGTCTGGGGACTGGGACGCGTCCGAGCTTGTTCGTTGAGAGCCCTCTGCTGTGACTCCGCCTTCGCCCGCAGTCTCTCTCCAAGAGTGAGCATTGGCACTCGCAAGCAAATCCGCAGGGTCTCGCCGGACCTTGTGGGCTTCAATGCCGCCCTCTCCGCCTGCATCTTGGACCTTGTCTTCCGTACAGGCTGAAGCATCGATGGGAGGAGCTTCGCAAACTTCGTCCCGGACCTGTAACGGCTTTTGAGAAAGTAAAGCATCATTCGAGGCGAGCGTCGCAGTCGCTGGCCGCTTGCAGTGTGCCTTGCTGGAGAGAAAGCTTCGACGGATGCAGTGTGGCTCGCCCAGCAAGGCAAATGCTTTCGTCGGGGATCCTTAAGTGTGGTCCTTTGCAGCAACAAGGACCTGCAATGTGCTGCTGAGCGCAGCCGTCCGCATCTCCTGGCAGCGAGCGTTGGCAACAGTTGCTCGAATCGAGGCCTTTTGGATACCGAGAGTTTCGCGCGAGAATTGCGAGTAGCTCGATGCAGGTGGAAGGCATCCAGCCAGACTCTGTGACATACAACACGGCCGCCCACGCCCTCCGCAAGGAAGACCAGGACCAGCAGCTTGGATGGTCAGGCGAAAGCGCTAGCAACTGGCATTTCTAGCCCTCCCATGACGTTTTCAAAGGCTCCAAGCTCAAATGAAATTGAAGTTTGGAGGCCCCCACGAGAACAGAACCGAGAAAGGGTTGAATTCGTGAGGTGGCCGATGACACTGAAGCTGCTACACGATTCGGCTGAAGCAGGCAAGGTCTGTGAAAACTCCTGCGTCCGCAGGCTTTCAAGCCTGGACATGTAGGTTCGAGGGCTTAACAGATGCGAGGCGACTCTCCTGGGATGCTTGATGTAATCATTTTAGCAGTTTAGAATTCTGGTGGAGTGCTTAGTAGGTTTGGGCCCTCATGGGACCTACAGTAGTTCTCTCTCATGGTTGTCATCCTGGCTGGGCATGAGCTGCTGGTAGTGGCCTGAGTCGTATGAGAGCTAAAGAAATAGAGTGAAGACATTCGTATTGAGCTCTTGTGGGCTGTGAATATGTGGGTCGGTTTGGGGTCTGGCTTGCTTGGTTCTCGAATCTCCTCTACCTCGTAGCTTTCATGCATATACTGTCGGGGCCGAAGCTCTCTGCTTCGGGTGTTTTCTTGCCTGGGCCCCAGGCATCCGGCGTGGCAAGGTGTCATTCGCCGCGCTGGCGGCCGTGGCACGGCGGAGGCGTCATTGGTGCCAGGTGGGAAAAAAAGCCGTGCTCCAGTGGTAGCTCTTGGGTGTTCCGTGAAGTTTCATGACACCGAGAGCCCCCGCAGTCTTGGACCTGAATCGGAGGGATCTTTGTGCATTTCAACAAGAGAGGCTTTGTATCTGCTCCACTGCATGGAAGCGGAGCAGGTGGGAAGAGACAGGGCCGGGGCTGTTGAGGTCCTTCGTCTTCCAAGCCTCCTTCACCAAAGCCTCAAGCTGACACGGATCCACCAGCCGTCGTGTTGATGTTGGGTGGCAGTCAGGAGATTTTTAGGCTGCGGCGCAGCTTCGCTGAGCTGTGCCGGCAAAGCCATACACACGTTTTCATCCCAGAGCCCCCTGACCTTCTGCCACCGCCACGAGACTTTGGGCCAGGTCGAGGCAGATGCGGTGAGCTGCGCACTCGCTCTGCGTTGCTTGGAGGACCCAGACTTCTATACCTTTCTTGCAGCTCGAGCAGTGCTTTGGGGTTGAAAGGGATCCATGCTGTGGCCGAGTACACATTTTCTCGTTCTGATCCTCGCCGCAGAAGGACTGCAGCGAGTGGTCCTGGGCCATGCTGCTGTTGCAGCTGGGCTGTTCAGGCTGTCCAATCAGGACTTCTTTTCGCCTGTACACGCTTTCCTGCGCGTCGCAGAGCAACTTCACCTCCACGACGTTTATCTGCAATCCTCTGGTGTTCCGATGCCAAGGCAACGACCCGGCTTGGACTCCACCTGCCTCAATGTGGCCCTGTCGGCTGTGCTTGCCGGAGCTGAGGCGGTTAGGTTGCGGAGCAATCTGCACTGTGCACGTGCTTCCAACAAAGGGAGCGCTGGCGGAGACCTTCTACTGTTTCGAGCGCACGTTCAGGTTGCTGGGTGTTGGCGTTCCTTTGTCGGTGTTCCGGGGTTGGTGTTCTGTTCCCGCTCCGTTCTATGATGTGAAGGCGTAATACAGGGATGCAGCGGATCTTGACACCGTCACCTGTTCACCCTTGCCTAACGCAGTTCTTGGCAAGAATGTCCGGCTTTGCTGTCCTGCACCCTTGCTCTACCCCTCTTAACGCCTGGGCTGCCCTTCAAACTCATCAGCTTCATTAACATGGGCATGTTCGTGTCACGTAAAGTTCTGTCACATTCTGACGGTCAGGCAGCCATCAGGATTGTAATCATGGCCTTGGAACTGTCAGGCGCCGTGGCACCGGGGGCTGTGCCTTGTGGCGTCTGCACTCCAGCACGGTCCCGCGCCGGACTCCGTAAGCTGCGCCCGAGCTGTCAGATTAAATGAGACAGACAGAGAGTCGGAGCAGTTTGAACACATCTCGGCGGTCCCAGGCCCCAGGCTCCGATAGGTCTGAGATGCTACATGTATAACGACTATTGACTATAGTATAATGTAGAAGTGGCACATTCGGCGAAGCTTGGGTCCAAAGCTTCTGCACTTGCCGCCAACATCCGGCACAGCCAGAAGCATACCGTGCGGTGAGTTGAACAGTGCCGGAATGCAGAGGCAGTGTTGTGATTTCAGCCCGAGCCTTGAACACAACGTGGTATCTGCGGACTCTTCATATGAAGACCAGACCAGGGCAGGGGCACAGTACCAAACGAAGATGAAAGCACAAGTATCATTGCAACATAGAGGTGCACCACAACTCGAAATGAGAGGTAGCACCGTCGCCAGTGCCTGTGCACGAGCAGCCGTTCCCGGCGTCGCACATCGCTTACTGCGAACGTGCCTTTGCTGCGTGTTTCGGGAAGAACGCCTGTCGGTTCAACCGCCTCAGAGTTTTGGGACCAACAGTGAATACGTAAAAGAGCACGTTTCTGGAGACATGCTGGGCGAGCATTATCTCCCCTCACTTGCTCATTGATTTGCGTGTGTGGGTTCTCGTTTCGGGGGTGCAGTGCTCGGCTTGGGCGCCCCGGACATGAGGCGGGCGCATGCTTAGGTAATCGTGGCTTTAGGCGAAAGCTCACAGAAAGAGGTTCAAAGATGCTTGCACATGTAAGGTTCAAGATGGAACCGCATGTCCCAACAAGGGTCCATGGTCCATGCCCCATGCCCTTCGGTGATTCAGGTTGCAGTTCTCGGGCGTCCGCCTCGGGACATCGGCCTACAACGCCTTCATGGCAAGCTCCCGCGGGCACTGGTCCCTGGCCATGGCGACGTTCAAGGAGATGGGTGAGAAGGCGGAGAATAAAAAGAGAAGAAAACCGGCTTCCATTTCATTTCGGCTCCATCTGGAATATGTGGGGCTGCGTGCGAACAGGGTGAGTTTGAGAAATCCCAATCGGACCAAGCTTTCTCATCCAAGCTTCGGGGGATTCGGAAATCAACTTATTCGTCCAGGCGTTGTCCCGGGACACCATCACTCTCGGCGCTGCCGTGGCAGCGCTCTCTGCCGACAGCACAGCTTGGGCGAAGGCGATGTACTTCCAGAGGCAGGGTAGCTTGATATCAAGTTAAAGCTGCAGGGAAACGATCAATTCTGTGCGTGGACGCCGCATTGTCAAAATGTTTGGGTGGGATGAGGGATGCGTTCCAGGATTGCCTCCCTCGTCGCACCAATTGAGTTTTTACAGGACATAGTATGTGTTCGGACAGAAATGGAAAGAAGATGCAACCCGATCAGGGACACATGGGTTTCTATCACTGTTTTGTCGGTGTTAACCTTTGAAGCGACTCCATGCTCCTGCTGTGAAGGCCGCTGCTACTACCAGCCAAAAAGGCGTGACAAACCAGGCTCATGGATGGGCAACAGGCACTAGACATCACAGTAAGTGAAAGCCACGTGCAGATGCTGCTTTGTGCCTGCGCTGCAGGCATCGATTGAACGCGCCCGCGACAACAGCCTGCAGCACGGCCTGCTCCAATGCCGGTGAGCCGCTTGGGCTGGTCACCCCAGAAGTGTCCGGTGGACTCAACAAAAAAAAAGACACGTCGAGGGAGTCCGGGATTCTAGAAGCTTTGGAGAGTCTGAGGGAGTCCGGAGACTCCCAACCATAGGAAGCTGAAGAACCTGACGAGCAGCGCTCGCCTCAAGAGTTCGCTCTGCAAGAGCTCGCGCCGGGTCGCAGTGCCAGGTGGGGCCGGGCCTTGGCGGTGCTTTCGAAGCTCGCGCAGAGCGGACTTCAGGAGGTCGCCAGCAAAGCTTCGTAAAAGCGTGTTTGGTTTGGCACGGCCGCAAAGCGCAGGTTTGAGAATTCTGTGGGATGCGGATGTGTTTCTTTTATCGCTCATGTATTGAAAGGGCCTGAGCCCTGAATGCTCAAAGCCTCAAAGCCTCCGCACGGTCGCTTGGCTTGGACTTGGGCGTTTGCAATTAGGTCACTCCCCTCCCGATTTTTTCCGGCAGGAAAAAACATCCCAGCGGCCGCAGACGCCAGGACCAGAAGACACGGACCGCGGCGGTGGCTGCGGGCGGGTGCCAGGGTTGGCGTGCGTCGCTGGAAAAGCTGAACTTTGTTCAGGCCTTTCTGGGCGAGCGGGAGCTGTTCTGGGACTACCTCTACTTTCACTATGTCTAGCAATTACCAACCAACGTACTTTGAGAGGGCACCCCGCCACACTCATATTCAGCGTGCCACGATACAGTAATTGGAAGGTGGAGGTGGAGTCGTAAGTTCGTGGAAACGCATTCTAGACTTGCGCCCTACAGACAGTTGGCACATGAAGCTCTGTCAACAAACCTACCTTGTCTGCACTTCCCCGTTTCTTTTGCGGTCAATTGACTTCCGGTCTGGTTTAGGCTAGCTCGCATGGGCTTTGCATAGACCCTGGCTCGTAAACTGAGGACAGATAAAGACAGATCTGCCCCTCCAACTTCGAATGTGAGATGTACTCTGTTGGGTTTAGGCTCTCACAACTCGGACATGCCAGGCGAGGTTCGTAGGTGCGGGTGGTTGTGAAACCAGCAGCAGTCATCTTTGTCCTGTTGGGTTTAGGGTTTAGGGGAAGCCCTTATTTGGCTTGATGATGTGGAGGGAATACAGACATGGCATCTCCTTGACATTAATGACGTCCAAAGCAGCCTCTGGCATTTCCTGCAGCACTTCAGGATGCAACAGTCTGTCTTTGCCATGGCGTTCACGGTCACTGCTGAGTGACACGAAGTTCTACTACCGTCCTTGCAATGTATGCATCTTACTCTCTTGCAGGAATTCAACCTTGCTACAGTTGAAATCGCCAGTCAGCTTTGGCATCGTGAGATCATGAACTGTGACCAGTAGTGCTACGGCTTGGCGCGATGCTGTTGTTTTCTGGTATTTTCCCCGGCCGACTTCCCAAGCCCGGATGCAAAAAGGGAAGGGTTTTTGGGTGTGAGATGTACTTTGGGTCGAGCTGGGAGTGTGAGTGCCGAGACCCTCCTTGGCCTTTCAGCCGAGGAGCAGGAGAAGCTTCAGAAACATGTAAGCTTGTCTGCAGATACCTTGTCAAGCCTGCAGAAGCAGCGTCACAAGAAGCGAACCTTGTTCAACCAAACGCCAGGAAACCCCGAGGCCTTCTAGAGAGGGCGTCGCTGAGCAATGCAGTAGTAAATCGAAACTGCACACACACAAAGGCATAGTCGTTTCATGTACTTTTACCATATTCTTTGCATACCTACCTACCTACCTACCTACCTACCTGCCTGCCTACCTACCTACCTACCTACCTACCTACCTACATACATGCATGCATACGTACGTGCATGCATACGTACCTACATACATACCGTACATAGCATATCCTACATACAAAATCATGCATAGCACTGGGTTAGATCACATATAGTGGCACAATGTGCAATACACAAGGGGTAATGCACAACAGGCCGACTCCCAGCTGGCGGCCTGCAACGCGGCTCTCGCGGCGACTTGGACGGGGAAAGACTTTCGGAGCCCTTGGGAAGCATTTTGCCTAGAGGGTCTGTATAGATTATTATTTAGACTATTGTTTTGGACCTATATATAGAGTAACATTTTGGACTTAGGCCCCAAAACCGTAACAAGGGATGGTCGTTTAGTGTAAAGGCAACCGCAGCCTAACGAGCATGGACATCAGTATGAAGTTTAGGCTGTGAGTCTGCCTCGAATCGTGGTAGTCGCTGGGACGAGTATCCAGGCAAGGCTCATTACAAACATGATGAGGGCAGTACGGCAAGCTGTCAAAAAGACATTCCATTTTTGTGACAAAGCAGTATTGAACAGTCAATGAGGGAACACAAGATGGCAGCACGAAGCCGGTAAAATACCTGCAGTGAACTTGCATTGTGAAATTATGACCCTTTGCCGAACAGACCTAGCTGATTCTGGAAGGGATGATGAAGAAAGCGCTGTTCTGGCAGCAGTGTGTGGTGCGGAGTTCGGAGCCGAATCGGGTATGGAGCTCAACTGGTCTCCGTTTCTCCGTCCTATTGGCAGCCGTAGATAACTATTTCAACGTCCATGCCACGAAGATGACAAAGCTATGAACTCCTTCTTAAACTAAATCCACCCTCTGCAGCGAACTCGTGGAGCTCTGACTGCGCAGGCCTGCGCAGAAACCGTCCAGTGGCATTTGGCCTTAGCCCTCCTGGGCTGTGGACCAGGTCCTCCGAGCGGAGTCTCATAGTGGGCGTCCTTCTACGTAGGGCTTGGGCTTTCTTGTTTTCAATTTCTGAAACTCGCAGTTGAAGATCGGCATCGCTGTATGCTACGGCATCAACCTATTCTACGACGACTGCCACTACTACTGACGACCACAACTACTACTACGACGACTACTAGTACTAGTACTAGTACTACTGCTGCTACTACTACTACTACTATTACTACTACTACTACTACTACTACTACTACTTCTACTTCTACGACGACGACGACGACTACTACTACTACTACTATTACTACTACGACTACGACTACTACGACGACTACTACTACTACTTCGACGACGACGACGACTGCTGGCAGTGTGCGCATAGAGAG